AACGACCGACTCCTAAGCTACGATAGGTGGCATTCAAAGACATTTTCATTTTTTCTCCAACCCATAAGTGACACCTAATAGTACAAGTAAAGGGTCAGTTTAGGTTCACGCTAAGAAACTTTATAGTTGAAGCATGATTTAGGGGTGGTCGGTCGGAACGGGCATAACTTTAATGTTCACATTTTAGATAAATGGTACTATTTATCTAAGTCTTTTCTATCTATCTAAAAACATTAATATTAAATTAGACACTATCTCCTACTAGTAGCTGAAAAATATTAATATGAATGCTCATTTAACTCAATGCTTTAAGATATTGTGACGCAAAAACAATAACAGAGCAAATTATTTTTATCCTGTCCTATTTTTGTCCTTTGTCCTTTAAAAAGGACTGTAAATAAACATTGGTGTTGTGATTAATAAATAATGTAGATATGTTTTAGGAATATATATTTTTGACCCCAAAACCGGGGGAAACGAACATGTCAATTATGTACCTACAGTATGGCAAAGTTACGGTAGCACGATTTTAAAACAAAACTCTATGTCTCGTTGTCCATTGTCCTGTTTCCGCTGCGATCGATCGCGCCTAGTGGCCTAATGATGGTCGACCGCCAACTTTGTCGATTGTACGTACATGATCCAGGGACAAATTTTTGACCCCATATCGGGGAGAATGTCCCAATAATATGTGTATAACCCCCAAATAGTGGGGGTCTTTGACCCGAAATGGGTATAGTTTTAGATATATTGTATTTCATTGACTTAATGACAATACAATCTGACTCCATTCGGAAGGGTGACTTATACGTAGGTACTACTTAGTTTTAAGGGATGATTTTATTGATGAAATAAATCAATACTAAACTCAAAAAATATGTATGATGACGGGGTATAAAAATTAAAATCTATTTCGTCCGTCAGTTAGGTAAGTCAAAAATATTAGACATGTATTTTTTTATTTTGTCGTATAAGAAATCAATACTATGATAAAACAAATCAAAGTTTAGGAGTGCGAGCTAGCTACGTCATTTCTACGTACAGAACGTACCTAGAAGTGACGTCACACGATATTTCAAATCAATATATCGTCGAAAGTATTTGTTTCCGTAAGAAAATAAAAAATATGTGTCTAATGTTTTAAAATAATCTACCAGACGGACATTAAAATAAAAATTATTCATCTAACTAACGTGTTCTTTACTTTAAAATCGTTCTCTAAGGCCTCCTATTCCATATGTATTGTGTTTTTGAGTGAAAGAAGATTATTTTTGTCGGAATGCTTGAATTTTTGCAAAAGGGATGAATGAACGACAGTATCTAATAATGATTAAGTGTCTAATTAAATGTATTCTTTCATTCAATTGTACTTATATATTATTTTCATATATTTATTTAAAATTCTTTACCGATTACATTTTTAAATAAGTACTCCTTATAAAATAAAAAATAATATTTAAAAATATAAAAAATAGGAGCCGACCAGTAGCGGCAGCAGGTCCAAGCTACCGGTACAATTGTATATATTATTATATAGAGTGTACCAACTAATTGGTTTTTGTTTCGTTCTATTCATATAAATATATATGTAAGTACCTAAGTAATAATAGCTGACTGACTCGTTAGCCGAGTGGTCGCAAGTGCCAATGCCGGGCAAGGGGTCTCGGGTTTGATTCCCGTGTCGGGCAAAGTATTATTCTATATCTAGTGAGCAAAAATTACAGAAGTCCCCCCCTATGACTTAGTGACAGAGACAGCGTTATACATTGAAGCTAGCTATCTTTATCTTTCGTAATAATTCATAAAGTTATCATTGTTTATATCATAGTATAAAGAAAGGGAAGTAGGCCATCTTCTTCCCAATCCGCGATATAATTGCCTACTGTCTTAGGGTTGTCACTTTTAGTTTAGGCGCAGCTTACCTACATACCAAGATTGTTCACCTTTAGTTAACCACATAAATCGATAAAACTTCCGTAGACATACAAATTAAATATTATTATTATGTTTCCGTTCCTTACTCACGTAACTGTTTGATAAGGAGCTCGACTAGTTTCAAGCCATGCTAGACGCTCGCCAATTGAGTACAATGACGCCAGTTGTACCCATTATTCTCCAGTACCCTTATTAAGTGGTCGAATTCAGCCTCAATGTAGATACTGAGGATCACACATGTTCAGTGCCCGGTTGATTGAAGTCCTGGGAACGAAGGCAAGGTGGCAGGGATGATGATACGGGTCTGGAGTGTGAAACAGTCAGAGCGGTATATGCGGTATATAACACTGGGTTTTCATCGACCCGGGATTCGAATTCAACATCTACGCGGCCGCCGGCGTACGAGCTTAGCATGCCAGCGGCGCCGTCACAGATGGAGGTGCGTGCACGTGAATCCCGGCAGAGGGCGCGTTGGGCCCGCACCGCAGCTGACTCAAGCAGCCAGTAGCATCGCGGCAGTCGCCATGTCACGGGTCGCGGAATACTGCTAATGAATATGAGCCTCTAGCATGGCTTGAAACTAGTCGAGTTCCTCGTCGAATTACTACGTGAGTAAGCCGAAAACATAATAATTAATTTAGTATGCCCCACGGAAGTTTTTATATAAACATAGATAACTTCATGAATTACGATCGAACTAACAAATAACGCAAGTCATGTGTAAAAACATAATAATGAAATTATCTATTTTCAACCTTACTGTGTTTATAATAAAATTTAGAACTCTCCACCTCTCTAGGACAATGAAATCGAATTTAATTTAAAATTCAAAATCTGTGTCATGTAAATGTTCAGTGTACAATGTATCAAGTACGATGGCCAGTACAATAACCTATCTGGCAAATTTCTCAATTACATCTTCAACTTTATTGTATATAACATAAAGTTGTCAATCCAATAATTGACACTGGCAGTATAGTCGACATCATATTGACACGGTTGCCAAAAGAGAAAAAAAAACAAATTTTGACAGATGGAGTACCTAGTAGTTTGATCCTGGCCATTGTACCTATATCTTATTGTAATTATAATTCAACAAATAAATGTCTAATGTGTATACTTTTAATTGTTTTATTTTAATCCTTTTATTATTTTAAATTTGTAGCACTATTTTATTTGCATCGCACGTGCCACCCGACGAGAAATACCTCTTCGAGACTTACATGGCGTGCGCGTGATGTTTTGATAATATATGTACTGTGAGTTCGTATGCGCTTTCAATGCAAAACGGAGTCGGTTCCCACTGACTCCTACTTTCCGAGGTGTGTCCGTTCCGATGGGTGACCGTCTCGAGCTTCTCGGCGTAACTCTGACGCCCACTTTCAATTTTGACTTGTATATCGAGACAAAGACGCAACTGGCTGGTAAAAGTTGGGTGTCCTGTCGAGGGTGAGACGGTACTTCGCGCCGGAGCAGTTGCTCACTCTTTACCAAATACAAGTACTGCTCCCATCTTTGGAGTGGCTGTATTAAATCGCAGGGCTTTAGGATAAATATGGGCGTTCCACAGGGTTCAATATTGGGTCCCTTTCTCTTTTTAGTCTATATAAATGGCTCGGCTAAATGCCAGCTAGTAGGCCTCAAATCCATCGAGAGGCGTGGCAAGAGGCTCATCAATGATGATTCGCTTGTGGAAGCTCGGCTACAAAGCCTCGAACACAGGCGCAAAGTCGCAACCCTTTCGGTCTTCTATCGGATACATTTCAGTGAGTGTGTATGTGGGAACGGCATAACCTTTTTCCCCCTAGTCCATTTCACCACCGTACCACCAGACGAACGGCGGGGCGCCACCCTTATATGGTGGACATGCCACCCATTCGCACGAAGCGTTTCGCGTCAAGCTTCCTCATGCGAACCGCTAAGGAATGGAATTCCTTGCCCGAGGCTGTGTTTCCGTCAAATATGACTTGGGTGTCTTCAAGTCCCGAGTGAACAGGTTGCTCATAGGTAGGCATGCTACATCGTCGGCCACATCATCGCTTACCACCAGGCGAGATGGTGGTCAAACGTCGACCTATCAAGTATAAAAAAAAGTTTGCTTTTCGCAATGGTTCACCAGTTATTTATTGTTTTAAACATATAATTTCTTTGTAAAACTATTGTATTATCGAGACAGAACCATTTTACTTCGGGACGGCAACGAAATAGATTTAACAGTGTAGGTAAAATAATACTCAAAACTTTAAAAGAAATGTAATATGTTATATTTAATTCATAAAAATACATACATTACAATTTCATTATCACAAAAATAATTGTATTTCAGACCTATTATAGTTTAGAGTATTTATTTAATTCCGCCATCATTAACGCGAAGTCTTCTGCTCTTTAAATGATGACGCAATGGGAGCTACCGTTGTTTTGCTCACTTAACGAGTGGAATTCTATGCCAAAGTCTACATTTCCTGGGTGCCTTCAAGGCCCGAGTGATTCATTGATTTATTATTAATTCATTCCTAAGTAATCATTTAGATATTATACTGGGTTTTAAAAAAAATCTCAGTAGTAGCACGGAGTCTGGAATTGTGGCTGGTATATGGCAATAGGCTTACATGGGACTCATAACATCAATAGTGAAAAGTGAGTGTTACATTGTACAGTGGGATTTAGTGCCTTAATGTGCACCTCTGCCTATCTCTTCGGGGATAAAAGACGTGGTCGTAAGTGCGACTGCCGGGCAAGGGGTCTCGGGTTCGATTCCCGGGTCGGGCAAAGAATTACTGGGTTTTTAAATATTCTCAGTAGTAGCACGAAGTCTGGAATTGTGCCCGGTTAATGGCAATAGGCTCACCCCCTATTACATGGGACTCATAACATAAATAGTGAAAAGTGGGTGTTACATTGTACAGTGGTATAATGTGCACCTCTGCCTACCCTTTCGGGGATAAAAGGCATGATGTTATGTTATGTTAATATCACACTACCATTAATAGGCGCCGAGCAGAGCGAGCGAAACCGCGCGGAATTGGCTAGTATATTTTATATTAATCACCTATATTTATTATCTACGTAGTTTTGCTTGTATGGTGTATGGCTCGCGCATGCGCGGACAAGGCAGTGCTCTGTGCAAACCGCGCGTTGCATATAGAACACACGTGGGGCTTCTCGCCTGTGTGGGTACGAAGGTGGTTCGTTAATATCTTGTTGGTCTGAAACAGAAAAACAGTGGCTTTAGCCAAACGCCACTTTATCGCTTGTCTACAGAGAGAGTAGAAATCAAAATGTATGGGAATGACACTGACAAGTGTCAAAAATTACGTCAATCCTTACTGATATTATAAATCAGAAAGTGAGTTTGTTTGTTTGTTTGTTCCGCTTTCACGCCGTAACTACTAAACCGATTGCTTTGAAATTTTGCAGACGTAAAGTTAGAAGTCTGGATTAAATAATAGGGTACTTTTTATCCCGGAAAAAATTGATATTCTCGAGGGAAAATGAAATTATTGGTATAGATGGCGCTGTGTGTATTGGTATATGTCACATTGGCTTTTATCCTTTTGTGACGCGAGTGAAGCCGCGGGTAAAAGCTAGTAATAAATAATTTGGACTTAGAGGATGGTCAGAATATATACTCACAGTAAACCCACGGCCGCACATATAGCATATTTTATTTTTCGGTGGCAATATACCTTCGTGGACGCGTCTTGTGTGCTTCACTAAATCTGCATTCCTGATGAAGTTCTGTAATTCGATAAAATATTGATTTTAGTTTAACTCGTCGAGTACCGGTTTTATAGACACAATTAACCTTTTGAGCGCCAGGGTCACAAATACGTGACAAGCGAAAACTGTCCCTGAGCGCCAACGACACAAATATGTGACAAAAACAGCGGTACATTAAAACACGAAATAAACTATTTAAACATTACTTTAATGCCTATTTATTTATATACCTGTAAAATAGAAGGTCCAAAATTTATTTATTTCCATAAAACTAATTAAATTGCATTATAAATATTGAGAAATTTTACGTTAAAAAGAAAGAAATAAACTCTGAAAAAAGAATGTCCTCACACGCCAGAGTCATAACTGCGTGACCGCTAGTGATGTAGCGCATGTTGGATAATATCATTATTTCAAATCAAAGATCGATTCGAATCTTTCCTCTGGAATATATTATTTTAGGTATAATTTGGTACTAGGATAAAGCAGCATTAATTTTATAAAACCAGTCTTAAAAATCATTCAATAAGCTACATAGTCAAAAATAAAATTTGGTTGGGTCGAATTTCGATGTTCACTAATCCCAACTCAAGCGCATCCCTAACGCAACCCGAATTATCAGTACCCTGTACGCCATGGTCACGACTAGACGACAATATCGTGACGTCACAAGCGCGGCGACCAGAAATTAGTGAAGTGAATGAATAATATTTATGATTAATTATCGAGATTAAGATATCGAGTTCAAGATTTATATTAAGTGACTATTATAATGAGTGGGAATTTAATGACTACGGAAGAACTTCTTCGCATATTAGAAGGAGTTTCAGATGACGAAGAATTTTCGGAAACAGAATCTTTGGACGAATTTGATACTGTCTGAGGTCAGTTTGTTTCAATTTCTGTAGTACACTAGAAAAAGAGATCAGACCTCAGTTTGCCTCAGAGAATAGGAGCGAGAGTATTTGACTCGAAACTTTTATTCTAAGTGTGGGCTCCATATTTACCTATAACTTCGTGGAATAAAGTCTGCCAAAAGTTCCTTTTTTAGCCACGGTGCACGCTGAGATCGATTTCACTGTCCCCACCACCCACTTTGCACCCAGCGAATTAGATGATCAGAATGCAGGTTGCATTGTAGATTTTGTATAATTTTGTTCTATTATTCAAAAGATTTATTAGTATAAGACTGATTGGTAATTGTGATAATTATATATAATCGTTAATTGTTTTAATTTGTTACTTTTTATGCCAGGTTTATAGAACTTAATATTTAAAAACATGTATACATAGTACATACTGTATAACATTTTATTAAAATTTTCTATTTTTTCATAGTTTTTATTTACCTTCTTAACCTATTTCAATCATATATTTTTAAGTACCTGTTACATTCGGAATTATAAATCTGATTTAAAAAACGTGTTTCATTTATTATAAAATAATATTGTACTAGAACATCGATAAACGAGATATTACGTTGCCACATCCTTATTTCGGAAGCGAAGTAGTTATTAAAATGGCGGGCCGTCCACGCCATGGTCACAATATGAAGACAGCAGATCAAGAATAGTGTTGTACCTACAGTTATTATATTTAAATATATTGTAGTCTCATATCTGTTATTACGGTATTATACAAGTCTGTAAATAGTGTATAACTATTACTTTAATAGGAAGAAATGTAATGTTGAATTAAATTTCAATGTTATAAGGACATTATATTTCGAAATTAAAGACGAAAATGAAAATAAAATTGATTATCGATGAAGTTTTGGAATCCCTATTTTTTTCGTAGGTATTTGCGGTGAATTTGTGGCCTGGCGTTGAGGGCAAGTTCATGCGTTTTTGCTCTGGCGTTCAAAAGGTTAAAGAACAATAGGTCGTGGTCACCGGTGACCGCTTGGTGTTTGACAGATTAAGTGTAGGAGAGACATGCCTCAGCACGAATGGGCGGGCTCGACCGGAGTGATACCACGGCCGAGCAAAAGACCAACGTGAAACAACCACAGCGTTGTGTTTCGTCGTGTGAGTGAGGTTACCGGAGGCCCAATTACCTCTCTCACCAGTCTCCCGAATCCCCCATAATCCTCAAATTCCCAAGCCGGTAACGCACTTGTAACGCCTCTGGTGTTCCAGGTGTCCATGAGCGACGCCGATTGCTTACCATCAGGTGATCTGTCTGCTCGTTTACCGACTTATCCCATAGAAAAACTTAAGCGCTACTCTGTGTAAACTAATAGGAACTAAAAGGCATTTTTTTTTAAGGGGGGAAAATCATCGAATGACTGCTCCCGCCTGGGTGAGGCGGGAGGGAGTGTCAGACTCTTACTGACTAAAAACCACCCCGTTCCTTCTCCTACACGTCGAGCCGGAGCCCCGGTTACCCGTTAGGTTCTCCGCGACAACTAAAAGGCATAATGTAAGGTAAGGTATAAAGTAATAATACCTTATCACACTGCTCGCAGCGATACTTATAACACTTCAAATGAACCAAGTTGTAGTGATCTTTCATGTAGATGTTTTTTGAGAATATCTTGTCGCAACCCGGGCATGGAATCCTGGAACGAAACAAGACCATTGTTAAGTTTTTAGAAGTACTATTAAAATATATTTTCTATAGCAGACTTTATTACTAAAATCACTATAAGAGACAAATTTTGTTTGTCAGCTTGTATGTACTGAAAAAGCTAAATATCTCAAAAATAACTGAACCGATTTTGAAAATACCAATAGCTTACTTTACAGAGAATAACATGGGCTACATTTTATGCCGATATAACTGCACCATATTGGAAAAATTTTTGACAAACAAACACAAAATTATGTATATCGAACTAACTTATGGACTTATTTACCTCGTTTTTATATATGTATTGTCCTTTGTGTTATATGTGTGTACATAAATCCTTACTAATATTATAAATCGGAAAGTGAGTTTGTTTGTTTGTTCCAATTTCACGCCATAACTACTAAACCGATTGCTTTGATTTTTTGCAGACGTGAAGTTAGAAGTCTGGATTAAATAATAGGGTACTTTTTATCCTGGAAAAATTTGATATTATCGAGGAAAACCGAAATTATTGGTATAGATGGCGCTGTGTGTATAAGTATATGTCACATAGGCTACTTTTTATCCTTTTAAAAGTTAGTAAAGTAAATAAATAAACTCACCTATGTTTCTTTCGTTTCGTATGTCTAGTACTATTAGCTATATGCCACCGGTATCTGTATATATCTCTGTACTGTCGGTCACACTCTACGCAGTACGCTGTGTTATGGTCCATGGCATTGTCTTATTGTGAAATCACATAATATAATATATAGGCTTTACATACTTCTATATGTACTGTTTACTAACCTTACAGACCCTTAAAACTTCATTAATAGCCGCATTATCCTATAGCAAATGTTCTATACAAAAATTACTATAAAAGACAAATTTTGTTTGTCAGCTTGTCTGTACTGAAAAAGCTAAATATCTCAAAAACTACTGAACCGATTTTGAAAATTCTTTCACCTATCAAGAGCTTACTTTACAGAGAATAACATAGGCTACATTTTATGTCAATATATCTGCACCATTTTGGAAAAAAAAGGATAGTTTTGACAAACGCAAACTCACCTATGTTTCTTACGTTTCGTATGTCTAGCACTATTAGCTATATGCCACCGGTATCTGTATATATCCCTGTACTGTCGGTCGCACTCCACGCAGTACGCTGTATTGTGTGCCGTGTGTGTCGTCTTGTTGTGTAGCCATAGTCCATTGTACCGAGCCCATTTCTTGTTACACGGCTTGCATTCGAATGGCGAGTGTTGTTTTCTGTAGAATTAAAAGAAGATAATTGGTATGAGACTGCCTCGTTGGCCGCGTGATCACAAGTGCCACTGTCAAGCAAGGGTGGATCGCGTTCGATTCCCGGGTCGGGTAAAGTATTACAGGTTTTTAAAAATGCTCAGTAGTAGCACGGAGTCTGGAATTGTGTATATGGCAATAGGCTTACCCCTTATTACATGGGACTCGTAACATAAATAGGAAAAATTGTTCAGTGGCATTAAGTGCCGTAATATACAACTCTGCCTATCCCTTCGGGAATAAAAGGCGTTATGTGAAAGAAGGAAACAAGCTATTTATGTGTATGATGTTTAAACTCCACGGTTGATGCAGTGGCTGGACAACGTGTAGCGGGTTCGATTCTCGCACGGCACAGATCAACTGTCTGTATGATTAACAAATCGTTGTTTCTGATGTGGGTGTGATGTGTATGTGAACTTATATGTTTGTAAACGCACCCACGGTACAGTAGAAAATCCTAGTATGGGGCAACGTTTTTTTAAATGTAAAAAATGAATTTACAAGTGTAACGCGGCAATTTTGGTTTGTGTCGAACGCACGCGCGCTACTCTAGTGGCAACACGCCACCTCACCACTATTTCCTCTTCCCCCGCTTCCCCGCCACTGACCGCTCGACGCTTGCGAAGACGCGAGAGAACAATGAGTCCCGCCGCCCGCGCCGGAGACGCGACGCACACGCCCATATTTGTGCCGCGAATATTTTCTGAGTTTTGTATTATTGTGCAACTTCGTTTTATATTTAGTTTATTCCAATATATACAGTTTACAGTCATTCGTGTGTCGAACTTTATTTCACGCCCTGAGAACCCACCACCAAGAACAATCATCTTCAATATATTACACAAGTTATTTGTGGTAGGAAACTGACTGTGTTACTCTTGTAGTGTGTAACTAGGTTCCCTCTTTACTTCATAAAAATTGACTAGATGTATTATAATGAAAAAAAAATGTATGACAAGGATACGGACCAAGAGTCCGTGGAGAATTAATCCTTACTAATATTATAAATCTGAAAGTGAGTTTGTTTGTTTGTTTGTTCCGCTTTCACGCCGTAACTACTCAACTGATTGCCTTGAATTTTTGCAGACATAAAGTTAGAAGTCCGTATTTAATAATAGGGTACTTTTTATCCCGGAAAAAATTTGATATTTCCGAGGGTAAACAAAAGTATTGGTATACATAGATGGCGCTGTGTGTAGTGGTATATAATAATATATATGATATAATAATATCACAGGCTACTTTTTTTCCTTTTGTGACGCGAGCGAAGCCACGGGTAAAAGCTAGTCTGTAATATAATTTATAAAAATTGTTTTGCAACAAAAAGCCAGTTCACTAGTTACTAGATTTCAACCTTATCACCTACCTAATATGGTCCTTAATGCAGTACCTCATCTTGAAAGTAATGCCGCAGTAATCACAAATGAACTTCTCGTGCCAACCCTTGTAATGTTTGAAAAATTCTTTTCTACTCCTGAAACAATAACAAACATAATGGGGATGATGACAGGGTATGAAAATCAAAAATCTAATTAGTCCCTAAGTTAGGTAATTAAAAAATATTACACACGTATTTTTTTTATATTGTCGTATAATAAACCAATATTTAGATAAAACGAATCAAAGTTTAGGAGTGGGGGCTAAAACGTTATTTCTACGAATAAAATGTATATAGAAGTGACGTCACGCGACATTTCAAATCAATATATCGTCGAAAGTATTCGTTTCTGTAAGAAAATAATAAATACGTGTCTAATGATTTAAAATAATCTACCAGACGGACATTAAAATAAAAATTAGGCGTCGTGTGAGTGAGGTTACTGGAGGCCCAATTACCCTCCCCTTCCCCAATCTCCCCAATTCCTGAATCCTCAACAAACCTCAAACTCCTAATCCCCAAAAGGCCGGTAACGCACTTGTAACGCCTCTGGTGTTCCAACGGCGCCGATTACTTACCATCAGGTGATCCGTCTGCTCGTTTACCGGCTTGTCCCATAAAAAATGTGTTTTTCTAAACCCTAATCTACCGCTGTATCAAATTTCATCCAAATCCGTTCGGCCGTTTTGATGTGAAGCAGTAACAAACATAGACGCATTAACACAAACTTTCGCTTCTGTAATATTAGTAGGATTACTAGCTTTTACCCGCGGCTTCGCTCGCGTCACAAAAGGATAAAAAGTAGCCTATGTGACTATACATCCTTTCGACTATCTTCAGTTAAAAAATCACGTTTACCTCCGTTCTGCCATTTAAGACAGGCAAACAAACAAATAGCTTTCCGCTCGCGTTTTGGTTATATCGCGCTATTTACATTTTTCCAATAAGTAGGTAATTCGTTGACTGGTTTTAAATGACATACAGCACCATCTATACCAATACACACAGCGCCATCTATACCAATATTTTTGTTTTCCCTCAGAAATACCAAAATTTTCCGGGATAAAAAGTACCCTATTATTTAATCCGGACTTCTAACTTTACGTCTGCAAAATTTCAAAGCAATCGGTTTAGTAGTTACGACGTGAAAGCGGAACAAACAAACAAACTCACTTTCCGATTTATAATATAATTAAGGATAAGGAAGTAAGGAAGTAAGGATACTTACCCAAATTTCAGTCGACATTTTAAACATTGAAATATTCGTCCATGTAGTTTCTCTATATGATATAGTCTATGAGGCTTGCTATAACATGTATATTCGCATATATTACACTTATATTTTATGTAATGGCGTCTTATATGTTCACAGAGTTGTCTCTTCGATTTTATATGGGACGTACATATATCACAGATGTATTGTGTTACCTGAAAATGATAATACATAACATAACATAACATAACATCACGCCTTTTATCCCCGAAGGGGTAGGCGGAGGGGCGGGGAAATCATCGAATGACTGCTCCCGCCTGGGTGAGGCAGAAGGGAGTGTCAGACTCTTACTGACTAAAAACCACCCCGTTCCTTCTCCTGCACGTCGAGCCGGAGCCCCGGTTACCCGTTAGGTTCTCCGCGACTCCGAATCGGCATCGGCCCTATTGGGCCCCATCTGATATAATAAGTATAAGATACCTTACCTTTTCATGAAACATTTCATTATGATTCTTCAAAATATCTTCATTTTCAAACACAACAACACAATTATCACACTTATATCTTTTAGATTTAAAATATTCGCTATCTCTTTCACTCTCCATACATTTTCTAACATCTACATCATCTATCTGTTCTCTTCTAAAGCAGTTCTTGTCTTTCATAATGATTTTGAATTTCGGTTTTTTATTTTGTAAAGCTCTTTTCTTCGCCCAGCGGTTGTTTTTCGGTTTTATCTGTGGTGCTGGAATTTAAAAAAAAAATACAATATATAATCAAAATAAATTTGAGTGGTCACCACCACTACTCTTTTCGCGGGTGTCGTATACCCGCCTAAGTGACTACACATTAGACAGAGACCGGGCAGCAGCGCTCTCTGATAAACCTGAACCTTTTATACTGCGATCTCCAACCTGCAAGTCAAGCGTGGAGTTCTGGCAAGCTCTAATGAACATCATCAACAGCCTATAAATGCCCACTGCTGAGCAAAGCCTCTTCTCACACGGAGAAGGTTTGAGCAATAATCACCACGCTTGCTCAATGCGGGTTGGCAATTACAAACTTATAATTAGACATTATAAGCCCAGGTTTCCTCACGATGTTTTCCTTCACCGTTTGTCAGTGGTGTCTAAATAATCTTAGAAAGTACATATAACTCAGAAAAAGTCACATTGGTACTTGCTGTTGGTAGGTTTCGAACCTGCACCCTCATGCATGAGAAGCGGGCGTCTTAAACCTCCGGGCCACCACGACGTACATAATGAACATAACATAACATCACGCCTTTTATCCCCGCAGCGGTAGCCCGAGGTGCACATTACGGCACTTAATGCCACTGTACAATGTAACACCCACTTTTCACTATTTATGTTATGAGTCTCATGTAATAGGTGGTGAGCCTATTGCCATATACCGGGCACAATTCCAGACTCCGTGCTATAACTGAGAATGTTATAGCTCTAATGAAGTGGATCATAATCCAGCAGTGGAAAGATGGACTGCTAATTAAGAAACTAAAATGACTGCTAAACAAGGGAGATTTGATTCCCAGGTCGGACAATATTAACGATATCAGGGCTCGTACACAAAACTGCGATGCAATGCGATTTCATGCGACAAGGCGTCTCCCAGGATGATCATTCTTCGACGACCGTCAACCGTACTAAACGTATTTTAAATTGAAAACTAGGTCGTGACATGGATCGTAAAAAGAAGTGTGCACTTCTGTTATTGCTTAGGAGATACAGGAAAAAGAAACAAAAACATTTTGAAAAGATAAGATTTTGATGCGCGATGCGAATCAATTCGCAAGTTCTTGCGATGCGCGACAACCGACTGCCCCGCAACGTATAGCTGGTTCGATTCCCGCACGGAGCAAATCTTTATGTGTTCCACAAATTGTTGTTTCGGGTCTGAATGTGATATGTATGTGGGATTGTATGAGTGTATCCGAATACTTGGTGAAGTAACATAAGATGTTGAGTGAATGAATCCGAACGGACGGAATGAAAGTGTATGATTGAGATTGATAGAAGATGGCGGACAGTTGATGTGATGAGCGAAGACGTTGCTCTATTAAATGATATTGTAAAAGACGGTTATTTTTTAAAGCATAGTTTATTTACTTTAAAATTAGTTTAACTAAAATCCCTATGTATATAACCCTACATGGCTACATATATTTGAACCTGTACCTATGTTTGTAATAGAGTTGCGAATAATAGTTCAATAAGATGAAAAGAGAGATACGTATCTTTCTTGTCCGACGAACTATATCTTTCATCTAGTTCACTAGTTCATCTAGTTCAATTTATGACCAGTATAAAATGACCTATCATTGTATGGTTCGCTTATATGATTCGAGGTCAACAGATATTGGTTACTATACTTGTTAAAACATACGTCATCTGGACAAAATTATGGAAAACGGTACCGTATTGTTTGTTACGTAAAGTATATTATTGCTTGTTCGATGCACGTGCTCGATCGGTTTTCGTCAGTGTCTTGATTCATTTAGTTCGGTAGTTCCTTCTTGTTCAATTCAGAAACGAAACGAGCGATCGTCGCGTCGTTCGGTAGTAGTTCTTGAGTCAAAATGAGATGCGAATCACCAAGTGAACTAGTGAACTAGAGATACAGTCTGTATGAAACTGAACGAAAGACAAGTTGCTGCTTTCCTAATGAACTAGTTCATTTTTGTCTTTCGTTCGCGAACTACCCAAGTCTAGTTTGTAAACGCACCCACGGTACAGGAGGAAATCATATTGTAGGGCAACGTTAAAAAAAAAAGAAACATTCTATGAGGGCCCAGAATTGGGATGATGACAGGGTATGAAAATTAAAAATCTAATTAGTCCGTCAGTTAGGTAATGAAAAAATATTAGACACGTTTATTACTTAGATAAAACGAATCAAAGTTTAGGAGCAGTGCCGTAAATAGGGCGGTGCCAGCGTTGCCCAGGCACAGGGCGCAGACCCTGGAGGGGCGCAGAAATGACCAGATAGTACTATCTAAATCTGTATCGCATTTTTAAACGATCTTGAAACAACAACACTTGTCAAAGGACGCACTACACATCAGACAAATGTATATCCACCTTAAGTCTTGCTCGCAATATTACATACACAAACAAAAGTGCCTATACTATAACTTTGGGCGTCTGTGCCCGCGGCGCCTGCGCCCCCGGGGCGAGACAAAAAAAGGAAAGGCACTCCATCCCGGCAGGCTGGAGTTGCAACAGCTGCGATGGAACCCGCCCCGCGAGCGGAGGACGGCGGTGGGTGGCAAATCGCTGGTGAGGCGAGGAGAGTCGCCAAGGAGGGCCGTAAGCGCCGCAAGAAGGCGCAGCGGCAGCGATGGCAGCAGTAGAAAAACGAGCTGCTCCTCGCCCCTAGGACCGCGGCTGTAGTAATTACGTCATGGAGGAGGTGGAGACGTACTCCGACCACCGGTATATCCGGTTCGACGTCTCCACCGAGTCCGCGGACCCGCCGGTCAGACAGGCCCCATGTGGCCCGCGTTGGGCGCTGAAACAGCTGGACCGGGAGCTGCTCCTGGAAGCCGCTATAATGCAGGCCTGGGTGATACCACCGGTCAGGCCACTACTAGCCAGGACTAGTGTACAGGCGTGCACTACTGAGTGACGCCAGTACACTAGGCACAGCAGGGGCCGCATCCGTCCTCCGAATGCGGAGGCGAGAGAGGCGGAGTTGTACGGGGGATACAGGGTGGCGAAGGCAGTCCTCAAGGCGGAAATAATGCGGGCCAAGGAGGAGGCCCGCCGAGAGATGCTGGGGACTCTGAACAGAGACCCGTGGGGACGCCCGTACCGGATGGTACGCGACAAGCTCCGCGCTTGGGCTCCCCCGCTCACTCAGTCTCCGGCCAGAAGTCTTGGAGGAGGTGATTGGCGCCCTGTTCCCCCGACTGTGGAGGGGCTTCACCCCTCCATATATGACCCCTGCGGTGCCCGACGCGGGCTATAGCGACGACGACGACGACATCATCTCAGAGGTGACCGAGGCAGAACTGAGAGCGGCGGTGCGCCGGATGGGCGCCAAGAACACCACTCCAGGACCCGACGGCTTGCATGGCAAAGCATGGGTCCTGGCCTCGGAGGCTCTCGGGCCTCGATTAATCGGTCTCTATAGCGCATGCTTGGAGAGAGGCCAGTTCCCGCTGCTGTGGAAAGCGGGTAAACTGGTCCTCGTGCGGAAGACGGGGCGCCCTCCGGACTCTCCGTCCGCGTAACGGCCCATAGTGCTGCTCGACGAGGTGGGGAAAGTCTTCGAAAGAATAATTTCGAACAGCCTCGTCGCGCACTTGACGGACATTGGGCTGGACCTGTCGGACGGCCAGTTCGGCTTCCGCAGAGGGCGGTCCACAGCGAACGCCATACCTACCTGCCTACCTACCTCCGTCGTGTAATCGAGGCTTACCTGACGGACAGGTCCGTCATCTACCCCGGTCATCGGGGCGAGTGGAACCGGCGAGAGATGTCACAGAGGAACACCTCTGTGACATCTCTGAACCCTGTGAAACACCACAGGGTTCAGTTTTGGGGCCGCTCCTGTGGAACATCGGTTCTGACTGGGTGCTGCGCACCGACCTCCCGAACGGCGTTAGCATCATATGCTACGCCAACGACACGCTGGTCCTAGCGCACGGGAGGTCGCACCAGGCGGCGGCCGACTTAATCGCGACAGCGGTCGCGACAGTTGTTGAGAGAATCCGGCAATTGGGACTCGAGGTGGCGCTCCACAAGTCCGAGGCTATGTGTTTTCATGGCCGCGGGAACGCGCCACCTCCGGGTGAGTCCCAAATAACGGTGGGAGAGGTTACCATCGGCGTCGAGACGACGATGAAGTAGGTACCTGGTACTCGTCCTCGACAGTCGGTGGAACTTCGTGGAGCACTTCCGACGTTTGGCTCCAAAGTTGGAGAGGACGGGGACTGCGTTTAAGCGCATGCTCTCCAACCTCGGGGGGCCAAACGCCTCCTGCCGGAGGTTATACGCCGGGATCGTGCGGTCCATGGCCCTCTACGGCGCCTCTATGTGGGCACCGAACCTGATGCGGCGGCCCGCTCGGGCGCTGCTCATGTCACAGAGGGTCATGGCGATCCGAATGATCCGCGGATACCGCACGATCTCCGGGAAGGCGGCGAACCTCCTTGCAGGATCACCGCCGGGATCTGGAGGCGAAGGTGCTCGCGCGCGTGTATCGCATGCGCGCGGAGCCTCTCGCCGGGGCGAAACTCCGCTGCCGCGCCAGATAAGTGCGTGGTGGGAAGAGCTCCACCGCGATCTCATGGCGGAATGGCTGCAACGAATTGTCTTAAAACATAATAACTTGGTACACAATAAACAGTTATATTTTCATGCACATTTGTCCATTTTATTGTCAGAGCCTCGTATAAAGGACATTTTTCAAGGGCGCAGTTTTGAAAACTCGCACCGGGCGCCTAGAAGGCTAGTTACGGCACTGTTTAGGAGTGGAAGCTAAAACGTCATTTCTACGTATAAAATGTAAGTACATAGAAGTGACGTCACGCGCCATTTTAAATCAACATATAGTCGAAAGTATTCGTTTCCGTAAGAAAATAAAAAATATGTGTATAATGATTTAAAATAATCTACCAGACGGACATTACAATAAAAATTAGGCATCTACCCTATATTATATGCCCATGGGCCCCAGCTTAGTCTAAGACGATCCTGATCACATACCTGTATTTTCCACCACCTCTTCTTCTTTGAAGTCATCATCAGGAACAGTTTCCTTATCCTCATGATCACTTCTACCATCGCCGTCATCAACATCATCAAGATCATCATTATATTTATCACAAGTCTTTAAATCTGTCTGTATATTGATATCATTTATGTATATTGTATGTGGATGGGAGTCGTTTAAAATGACAGTTGCAAGCGTAGATTGTGTGCCGTAGATGTAGCTCTGTAAAATAAAGATTTTATTATTAAAACTTGCGACCCGCCCCGGCTTCGCACGGGTGCAATATGCATGTATTGTACATACAAACCTTCCTTAAGAATCACTCTATATATTAAAACAACCGCATCAAAATCCGTTGCGTAGTTTTAAAGATCTAAGCATACATAGGGACAGACAGACGGTGGATAGCGACTTTGTTTTATATTTCTTAGTGATAGGTACTAGCTTCTGCCCACGCCATGAGCTGCCCCGCATTATCAGAACCAACCACGTTGGTGTTGAACAAAAAACCATCGGTATCTACAATACCAATGGTTTTTTTTTATGAGATAAGTCGGCAAACGAGCAGACGGATCACCTGATGGTAAGCAATCGGCGTCGCCGGTGGACACTTGTAACACCAGCATTACAAGTGCGTTACCGGCGTTTTAAGGGTTAGGAGGATTAGAAATTTGAGGATTGTTGGGGATTCAGGGATTGGGTGGGATTGAGGAAGGGTCGTAATTGGGCCTCCGGTAACCTCACTCACACGACAACGCTGTGGTTGTTTCACATCAGTTTTCTGTGAGGCAGTGGTATCACTCCGGTCGAGCCGGCCCATTCGTGGTGAAGCATTTCAACCAAAGCCGAAGCCGGAGCAGCTCCCTCAAAGGTTCATATTAACAGACATTACACGTCAAACATTAACACAAACTCACTCACAAAGTGTTACTCAATCATGTCAAAATGGCTGAAAGGATCGGGATAAAGTCAAAGTCAAAATCATTTATTTCAATTAGACCAGGATGGCACTTTTGAACGTCAAACAACAAAATTTATAAGTGAAGCTAGTTGCTCATTCCAAGGCGTAGATTCCTATGGAGAAGAACGAGCAAGAAACTCCATAGGTTACTCTTTTTCAATCAGGTTTAAATACAATTCTCTAGTTACATAGTTTTGTTGGTCCGATTATGTGAGAACAATGCAACACCTAAATCCAATCAGAAAGACTGAAAAAGAAATTAACCTTGAGGATAATAAAATAAAATGATACAGTCTGGAGCTGATAAAATTAGGAACAGGGGTAGATTATGGTGTGGAATAACACATAGGCTACTTTTTATCCTACGGGAACGTGGGTCAAGCCGCTGGCAGAAGCTAGTATTACATACAAGGAAGACCTCTTTGTCTGTCTATCCTACAGATATAATAAAGAAGGAGATATGGTGTGGAGTCAAAAATGTATGCAAACCCGTGAAGCACAGTTAAAATAAAGAAAATATTTCTGTGGTCTATCCGAAAGAGCAATAACCTCAAAAATTAAGAACTTTTTTATGGAGTATGAGGCAAACGAGCAACGGATCACCTGATGGTAACTTCTCTATGGTATAATGTTTAGGGAACAGAGAGTATATGTAGTTCCCTAAGATAGGAAAAGGAGGATCCTCCGACCAGGCGAGGTGATCGTGCCTGGCGGGCTTTCTGCCCAAACAGTTGTCGTTGGGGCAAGTGTAACAAGTGAATTTATTTCTGCAAATAGGCTACAAGGCAGCACTTTTACACGTCAATTTTATCAAGCGAACGATGAGGTCGACATTTAATAACTGACTTCTCTGAGAAGAAATGCCTAAACAAACTCAGAGGTCTTTTAAAGTCCAGACAAATGTGTATAAAAGATTATGTGTGAGAACCGTGCAAGTTCTTTCTGTAGTGGCCTTTTGAGGAAAGAACCACAACAGGTCATCTCTACGTCCCCGGCTGGGGACGCGAGGACGCATTATCCACGCCGATGCCTGTTTCGGTGCATTCGTTCGCTGCCTACTACATCAGGCGAGGGATTGGAATAGTCGGCGGCGATGCGGCGTCGAGTCCGGTGGTTAGCCCCGCCATGAGCCGCGCTGTAGCCGGGCAAGCAAAGCCAGCAGCAAGTTGTTGGCGGGGCATAGGGCATAGGCCTAGAGCGGGCGGGCGAGAGTCTCACGCGGCGTCCGTGCTCAACAGTTGCTCGTTAGAATTTTCTATTCGTGTTAATTCGCATGTAAACTTTACTTGTTCGATGTAAGATTTTTGTGACGTCATCCGATGGTTTGTCGATCTTCGATATTTGTCGTGTGTCGCCACAGATCAACAGATAGTGTGATTTTTGACGAAGGTAGGTTCTGAGGAGGTGGTCTCTTAAACGGTGTTCATTTACTAGCTTTTGCCAGTACCTTTGCCCGCATTCCCGTGGCCTATTTGTTATTAAAGACCAGCTAAGGAGGAGGCGGGACCCGTGAGGCAGCCAAGCACTGCCTCCTCACAACCCAGCCGTAGCGAAGGACACTCCGGGCGTCGGCAACCGCGGAACGATCTCCGGCCACCGTAAGCACGGGCCTGCGGACGCCGAGCAATACCTACATTTTGATCCCTTCAGCCATTTTGACGTGATAAAGCAACACACACACAAATACATCCTCATTTATAATATTAGTACGATAATAATAGGTAGAATAGGAAGTAGGATATGAGAAGACTTAAGATAGAATTTTTCACTCACCTGACCTAACTGCAGCATTTCATTAGCTTTCACAGCTTGCTGCTGAAACTTGACAGCCTTGCAGAGAGAGGCACGGCACTCCCAGCATATCCTTATATTTTCTAAAGGAATGTTATTCTGTAAAAAAAATAATTTGTTTTTTAACATTTGTGAAAGAGATTACAATATTAAGCTATTGACATGAACTTAAGGGAAATATAATAATTTTTAAAATAATGATCATGTTTTGAAATCCAATTGTTTGCTGTATTTTAAGACTACTGTTCGCTATTTACCTCTATAAAGACTAAAGTCAAAGCCTTTTGTAATTGTATCTTTAAATTTTGTTCTATTCACATATATAAGATGTAGGTATACATTATTCTGGATCACAACTTTATACACACATACACACACATGCACAATTCTCCAGAATTAACAGTCAATATGTTTAAATACAGGTACAATATACATGTATAATTAACATATATCAGCCAATAGGCTGATAACATAATGAGTGTGAGTCTGTAAGATGATAATACAGGGCGGACACATAATGACCAGCTTGGCGATATATTATATAAGGGCCAAATTAAAAATACCCTTATTGGACGAGCATACATGAAGATTGATGACTGTTGATGAAGCGAAAGAGGTATGTAGGAATCGTAGCAACTGGCATTCCATCGTCTCTCTACCACCAAGGGAGACAGAGGTGAAGTTTTGCATGTATGTATGTAAGTAATGTACATATAACTTAATAAATACTTATAAAACTTACATAAACTTCTAATTCCGAAGTTAGAAGCCTAAACACGTTCACACACTGTTCTAATGGAAACAATTTCCTTCCAATACTTAGACAGACTGAGCATTGATTGTCTTCATTAGGAAATTCATATTTTATTGCAATTTCATCCATTATTTTTTTCTTAATTTAATTATGTACGAATTTTCAGTAACATTAATTGGATTATAGAAAAGTTTTCATAGGATATTACTATTTTTAAACTAAATACTTATTTGAATATAGAACATATTTTACACTGAGATTAAATACTTATTTTCTTATCTAATCTATATAACTGTAAATAAATAAATTTTAGAAATGTTTTGTTTTCTTTTTGTTTGCACTACTGTCAAACCAAACAGCTGATTTTGTTGACATATAAATTCCATTTCATTCAACCAAATCAGCTTATAACTTGCAAAATATTATGCAAACTCTTTGAATACACAGTATTAATACCTTCTAAAATTAAATCAAAAGATTTGATACAATTTTTTGTCAATTTTAATAAATAATTATTTTGTTTACGCAATATTTTCTTGGTTTCAACAGTTCACTAAAAAACCGATAATATCGTTTTCTTTCCGCTTGACAGCCAAACCAAAAGTGTCCAACACTAGTTTCAACTTTCAAAATGGCATCGATTTGTGTTGTTTGTTGTGTACATGTACATCTAATAAAAACAGAGTTCTAATAAGCGTTAAACATCAAATACTTTACACAAACTAGTATTTATCACCTTTTGAGCCGAGCATAAGTCGTCATTTCATTCATAATTTTTATTCATTAATAGTTCTTAGAGAAATTTGACCACGAATATGAGAACAAAAAAATTAACAAATAAATGTTATTAATTTATCACTAAAAATGAATATTAAAGAGGAACAAATATGCTATAAGCTGCTTTGCAATGCTTGCCTTTGTGTTGGAAGGAAGCTACATGAAATATCTGATGAGAAAACACTAAAATACTACTTGAATGCTTTGAGTGAAATTCCTGTAAGTAAACATGGTTGTTTAAGACAACTGCTTAGTCTATCTTTTTCTAGCCAAGTATTGATGGTCACGTAGTAACGTAGTAAAGTACGAAACTTTTGATTACGATCGAGGGCATCAAAAAAATCATATTAAAAAATCATCCTCCTATTATATACTATTATAAAAGCGAAAGTTTGTATGTTTGTTACTCCTTTACCTGAAAACGGCTGAAGGGATCAAGATGAAAATTGGGACAGGAGTAGATTATGATCTGGAATAACACATAGGATACTTTTTATCCCATGGTAATGTGGGTAACGGCACTGGCTAAGCTAATGCTGTATAAACAATAAAACGCTCCACTGTAACGAGAAATATTAACAATTTAACTGACTTAAAAAAAACAAGAGCTTCTCAGTTCAACCTGTATGTACATGCAAATGTTTTTCTCGCAAACTGACTGCCTTGTTGGGTTAGTGTTCGCAAGTGCGACTACCGGGCAAGAGGCTTTGGGTTAGATTCCTAGGTCAGACTACTGGGTTTTTAAAAATTTCTCAGTCTGGAATTGTGCTCAGTATATGGCAACAGGCAAACCCCCTATTACATGGGACTCATAATGTAAATAGTGAAAGGTGGGTGTTACATTGTACAGTGACATTAAATGCGATAATGTGCACTGCCTAACCGTTCGGGTATAAAAGTCGAACCAATTTTAATGCAGTTTTCAGTGTAAAATGTTTGTTACACTTAGGAGAAGTCTTTACTATGTTAATTTAACCGACATAAAACCAAAGGCTTTTTAAAACGTAGTTTATTAAAGAACTAGCTACTTCCGCGCGGTTTCACACGCTCTGCTCAGCTCCTATTGGTCGTAGCGTGATGTTTATAGCCTGTAGCCATCCTCGATAAATGCGCTATCCAACACAAAAAGAATTATTCAAATCAGACTTATAGTTACGGAGATTAGCGCGTTCAAACAAACAATCAAAAAACAAACTCTTCCGCTTTATATAATAGTATAAGATAGGATTAGTTAACTATATAAAAACTATTTATCTCGTAATGACTTCTTTTATTTTAATTTCAGCTGTACAATCCATCAACAGTAAATCTCCTGATATGCTGGGAATGTAAAGCACTGCTACAGAAGTGTGTGGCCTTCAGGGAGCAAGTGCAGGACTCATACCGGATATTACAAACTTACACCAATGAGGTGAGAAAGAAGAAAGATTAACCTTTTATTTAACCCATAGATCCCCAAGCGTCACCGGTGACCGCTCTCCACTACCTACATTATAGACCTTATTTCCAATGTTTAGAGACTACTTCTGTATGAACAAATTTAGGGGATGAATTTCAACGGGTTAAACTAATGTCCCTTTCCACCAACCTCCTCTAAATTTAAAGGAACTCCTAAGCATTTGGGTCAGCATGCTCCATCGTAGACCGTATCATCGCTGACCACCAGTTGAGCTTGTGGTCAAACGTCAGCCCATCAAATATTAAAAAAACCCCTAATGTCGGAATACTGAAATGTTACTCACTTTTAAGTCGTACTTAAACTGTCAAACACCAAGCGGTCACCGGTGACCGCAGCCTATTGTTCTTTAATTGTGTCTATAAATACGGTGCTCGACGAGTTAAATATTGTGCCATCTCTGTCATTTTGCAAAGAATTTGTAGAGACAGAACTATACTTAAGAGCAACTTAAAATTGAGTAATGTTTCAGTATTTGGACATAAGTAAGATAGGTTTTTTATGGGATAAGCCGGTAAACAAGCAGACAGATCACCTTGTAGTAAGCAATCAGCGTTGCCCATGGACATCTGAAACACCAGAGGTGTTACAAATGTGTTACCAGCCTTTAGGGATTAAGAATTTAAGGATTGGGGAGACTAGAGGGGGGTAATTGAGTCTCCGGCAACCTAATTCGTACAATGAAACACAATGCTGTTGTTGTTTCGCTATGGTTTCCTGCAAGGTATCACTCCGGTTGAGCTGGCCCATTTGTGCCGGAGCATGGCTCTCTCACACTTAATTCATAGGTAACATTTTTTTAGGAATGACAACATAACATCACGCCTTTTATCCCCGAAGGTGTAGGCAGAGGCGTACATTATACCACTGTACAATGTAACACCCGCTTTTCACTATTTATGTTATGAGTCCCATGTAATAGGAGATGAGTCTATTGCCATATACCGGGCACAATTCCAGCCTCCGTGCTAATACTGTGAATTTTTTGAAAAACCCAGTAATACTTTGCCCGACGGGACTTCTTAGGATCTTTCACGAATGTGTCGCGTTTTAATTTAGTATGTTATTTTCAGAATCTCCATGAATGCCTACTCTCCGATGTGAGTCGTCCACCTCGCTTAAAGCTACATAAAGCTGATCCAGTGAACATATCGCCCTTAGAAGGCTTGGAAACTTTTACTGATCCTATTAATTGCCTGAAATATGAATTCAAACAGGAATCGAAGAATAATGGTATGAACTGTTTTATTTATTTAACGAAATTCTCTCACTTGAATACTTAACTGAAACTGAAATGCTACACAATTTCAATTTGTACTGAAGTACATACATACATACATACATAACATCACGCCTTTTAATCCTCGAAGGGGTAGGCAGAGGCGCACATTACGGCACTTAATGCCACTGTACAATGTAACACCCACTTTTCACTATTTATGTTATGAGTCCCATGTAATAGGGGGTGAGCCTATTGCCATATACCGGGCACAATTCCAGACTCCGTGCTACTACTGAGATTTTTAAAAACCCAGTAATACTTTGCCCGACCCGGGAATCGAACCCGAGACCCCTTGCCCGGCAGTCGCACTTGCGACCACTCGGCCAACGAGGCAGTTGTACTGAAGTATCGTGCTATTATGTCGTGATGGCCCGGAGGTTTAAGACGGTCCCTCCTTATGCATGAAGTTTCGAAACCTACCAACGGCAAGTACCAATGTGTCTTTTTCCGAGTTATATGTACTTTCTAACACTATTTAGACACCACTGACAAACGGTGAAGGAAAACATCGTGAGGAAACCTGAGCTTATAATTTCTAAATGTATGTGTAATCGCCAACCCGCATTGAGCAAGCGTGGTGATTAATACTCAAACCTTGTATGTGTGAGAAGAGGCTCAAACCTCCGTGTGAGAAGTTTTAGCTCAGCAGTGGGCATTTATAGGCTGTTGTTGATGATGATGATGATGATAGTTTTATTAGTTATTTACCTATGAAATTGCCAAAATAATTGCGAAACGGCCTATCATCTCTGTCATTTTGTAAAGAACTAGCTAAAGATGCGCGGTTTCCTTAGCTTCACGGCTCCTATTGAACGTAGTGTATTGTATTCAATTCAAACCAATAGTTTTAGAGATTAAATAACCTCTTCAGCTTTATGTTTTACGAATAAAAAGTAGCCTTTGTGACATATACCAATACACACAGCGCTATCTATACCAATACTTTTGTTTTTCCTCGGAAATATCAATTTTTCCGCGTTAAAAAGTACCCTATTATTTAATCCGGACTTCTAACTTTACGTCTGCAAAAATCCAAAGCAATCGGTTTAGTAGTTACGGCGTGAAGGTGGAACAAACAAACAAACTCACTTTCAGATTTATAATATTAGTAAGGATGGCATAAGCCGGTAAACGAGCAGACGGATCACCAGGGGGCGTACTCTTGAATCCAATTCCGATCGATCGACATTAGTATTGTGTAATTTCGTACTCTTGAGTTGCAACACTAGCGCGTATTGCATCCGTATTGCGTGGATATTGAATGAACTAAATGGTATTGAGTTTGGCTTTATATTCCGTACTCTGAATGCTATTTTAACATTTAAATTGCATTGACATCGGTTTCAAGAGTAAGCAATCGGCGTCGCCCATGGACACCTGGAACACTAGAGGCGTTACAAGTGCGTTACCGGCCTTTTGGGATTAGAAATTTAAGGATTGTTGGGATTCAGAGATTGGGAAAGGGAGGGAGGAGTAATTGGGCCTCCAGTAAGCTCACTCACATGACGAAACACAACGCTGTGATTATTTCACTATGATTTTCTGCTCGGCCGTGGTATCACTCCGGTCGAGCTGGCCCATTCGTGCGGAATCATGGGTCTCCCACACTTAAAATAAAGTAATAATTTATAAAAATAAAATATATTAGAAACTAGCTTCTGCCCGCGACTTCGTACGCGTAATCCCATTTTTTCCCGTCCCCGTTCGTGATTTTCGGTAAAAAGTAAAAGAAGAATGTTGGTTAAAAAGTATCCTATGTCGGTCTCCTGGCTCTAAGCTACCTCCCTACCAATTTTCAGCAATTTCAAATCTGTTCTGCCGTTCTTGAGTTATAAGTGGTGTAACTAACACGACTTTCTTTTATATATATATATATATATATATGTATAAACCTTACATTTCAGACGATGGAAACACGTTGGAAGATGATGGCATATTGTCAGATTCATCTGACGATACAAAACAATCTGATTCTGATATCCAGGATATAATGTGTTCCATCAAGAGCGGGAAAAGGAGAAAGAGAGTTGGCACCAAAACTAAGAAAGCTAAAAAGGAAAAGATAAGCAAGGTAAGTAAAGAATAATGTTCTGTAGTATAAAATTTAACTTTTATTCCCGGAGGAGTAGACAGAGGTCCACATTACGGCACTTAATGCCACTGTACAATGTAACACCCACTTTTCACTATTTATGTTATGAGTCCCATGTAATAGTCGGCACTGTTGGCGCGGTGGCTGGTTGGCGCAAAGTGTCGCGGGTTCGATTCCCGCACGGAACAACTCTTTGTGTGATCCGCAGATTTTTGTTTCGAGTCTGGGTGTGATGTGTATGTGAACTTGTATGTTTGTAAACGTACACACGACACAGGAGAAAATCTTAGTGTGGGGCAACGTTTTTAAAAAAAAAATTGGAGGTGAGCCTTTTGCCATAGGCACAATTTAATACTCCATGCTACTACTGAGTTTTTTTTAAAACCCAGTAATACTTTTCGCGACCCGGGAATGCAACCCAAGACCCCTTGCCTAGCTATCGTACTTGTACATTGTACAGTGGCATGAATTGCCGTAACGTACACCTCTGCCTACCCCTTCGGGGATAAAATGCGTGATGTTATGATATTACTTACTGACTGTGTCTTTTGCGGACATGGTAAGAAAAGGATCCGATTTCGTTCGACCAAACAATCTGGCCTCTGTCGCTGTGTATCCGGCCAATAAATTGAAAACTAGCGAGGAAACTAAAACTATGGTGCAAACACTTATAAGTCCTAGTGAGATGAAGCTGCACGTGCGTGGAGTCCGCAAGACACAAAACGGAGGTGTAATAATCAGCACTGAGTCGAAACAGGATGCTGAAAAAGTGAAGAATGCAGTTGGCCTGTCGTTATCCGGTCTTCTCGCAGACGAACCTAAGAAGCGCAAACCACGAATCGCAGTTATAGGAGTGCCGTCGACAATGACTGATACTGACGTCTTCAGGTGTATTTATGAACAGAACGTGTCTGACAAGCTCCCGGAGATGACAATGGAGTCTTTCTTAACATCAGTCAAGTTAAGTCACAAATCGGGAAGAAAGGATGCACCGACCTGCAATTTCATCATCGAAGTTCCAGGCAAGATACGTAAAGCCCTTATATCCCAAGAGAGAATTTACATCAATTGGACTTCTTGCCCTGTCAGAGACTTTACGCTTGTAACGCGATGCTATAATTGCCAACTATATGGACATGCAGCAAAATCATGCAGGGAGATCAACTCATCGTGTGGCCATTGTGGAGAAGCAGGACATGTACAATCCTCGTGCACTAAAAAGTCGGAATCCCCTAAATGTGCTACATGCTCTCGTTACAATAAGCCGAATAACCATAAAACCGGAGACACTGACTGTCCGGCTAGGAAAATAGCTGAATATAGGTACATCTCTATCGATTATGAGGACGCGTAAAGTGTCATACTCTCGGATTACAGAGTTGATTAACCTTCCCTTGCACATTAGTTAACATCGTAACAAGTTGGCGTACTCAACAATTTGTTGCTGTTCAAGCGTATTTTATTGTAACACCAAGTGAATGACCGTTTGGACTGTAAACTAGATTATGTTTCTGTTGATGTATCAAATTCTTCAGTACTATAGTTCCTCTAATGTTTTATATATATATGTATATCTATGTTTTGTATTTAAGCTAATATAATTACTTGTTTAATAAATGTACTTATACGATAATATTAATATTTAGTTGTATGTTGTTTAGTGTGTATGTATGTATATATGTATGTATATTAAATAATCAACTTTACTTTACTTTGATCGATTACTTATGTTATGGAATTTGTTTATATAAATAACTTGTCCTAGAATTAGTAATGTTGTGAGTGCTCCTTTCGCCTGTGATACAGGATATTTTTCCTAGTACAGGCATTCAAACCTAGTGAGGTCTCTGATTTAAAATTAAGATTTTTATCTGTACTATAACCAATTTCTTATAATGAATAATGAATAAAGATTTTATTATTATTAAAAGATTTATTATTCTTTTTTCCGTCACTAGGTACTAGAAGACTGTCTGTCATCAGATGGAAGTGAATCTCGTTTGAATTCCACTTTAGAGCCAACAGAGTTACCTTCAGAAGCATTCGAGACAGTCCCACAAGTACCTATGGTGTGTGTTAAAGACAAATTTAAAGAGGAATGGGAGGAGAAAGGTATTATCTTCTTACTTACATAGATACATTTCATTTTTATTTATCTTTATATATATAACTAGCTTTTACCCGCGGCTTCGCATGCATCACAAAAGGATAAAAAGCCTATGTGACATATACCAATACACACAGCGCCATCTATACCAATTCTTTTGTTTTCCCTAGGGAATATCAAATTTTTCCGGGATAAAAAGTACCCTATTATTTAATCCGGACTTCTAACTTTACGTCTGCAAAAAATCAAACCAATCGGTTTAGAAGTTACGGCGTGAAAGCGGAACAAACAAACTCACTTTCTCATTTATAATAGTAAGGATGTTCTTTTTACCTACACGGCTTAATTTATTTATCTTAATGTTAAAACCTTCCGGCCTTCTTTTTCAGAAGACACAAATGCTTTAGGTGACGACGATAATGCCATTATGTCAGATTCATCTGACAATACGAAACAAATGGAATCTGACATTCAGAATATTGTTTGTGACGTGAAGAAGGGAGAGAAGAGGAAGAGAGACAGCACTAAAGCGCAGAAAGTTAAGAAAGTGACAAGAAGAAAGGTTAGTAGAAGAAGTATTCGGTTATGGGGCTATAGTTTTGGTAGTCGCCATATTATAGCGTATATGTAGCAAGAAGTTTTTTTGTCCAATCACTGAATGAATAAAACGAAATGAATGAATGAAATACGTTTATTCAGCATAAGACATGCACGCCAAAAAAAACTTATACATTATGAGTATGACATTTAACAATAAAAAGGTATAAAAACAGAAAAATAAAAAGATAATAGGTAAATTATAAAACTAAAACAAGCCAATAATACAGGTGCAACATACCGCGCGGTGTTGGCGGACATGCCCAATCCGAACGGATCACCAACTCAGCTGTCAAATACAATAAATACGTCCAATGGTGTGACCTATATCTGTCGTGGTGGCCCAGAGGCTTAAGACGCTTCTCATGCATGAGAGGGTACATATTCGAAACCTACCAACGGCAAATACCAATATGACTTTTTCCAAGTTATATGTACTTTCTAAGATTATTTAGACACCACTGACAAACGGTGAAGGAAAACATCGTGAGGAAACCTGAGCTTATAATTTCTAAGTTTGTAATCGCCAACCCGCATTGAGCAAGCGTTGTGATTAATGCTAAAACCTTCTCCGTGTGAGAAGAGGCTTTGTTCAGCAGTGGCCACTTGTAGCTAAATCCCTGTTGGACGAGAGAACGAGAGAAACTCACTAGCGCCATCTAATGAGCAAAAATACAGTAGCCCCCATTTTGAGTAAATGTGTTTGTTTTGTGTGTGTGTGTGTGTGAATGTGTTTTATTTGTAGTAGGCCTTTTTTAATCTATCGATGTGTGAAAATGAATAGTCAAAAAATATTATTTTAGGTATCTCTTTTTCATAAAACTCATTCTTTTTTAAATCATTCTTAATGGGGATGATGACAGGGTATGAAAATTAAAAATATAATTAGTCCGTAAGTTAGGTAATGAAAAAATATTAGACACGTATTTTTTTATTTTGTCGTATAATAAAACAATACTTAGATAAAACGAAACAAAGTTTAGGAGTGGAGGCTAAAACGTCATTTCTTAGTATAAAATGTACTGAGAAGTGACGTCACGCGACATTTCAAATCAATATATCTTCGAAACTATTCGTTTCTGTGAGAAAAGAAAAAATACGTGTCTAATGTTTTTAAATAATCTACCAGACGGACATTAAAATAAAAAATAGTCGTCTACCCTATTACAGAATGTTCTTAGTAAATTAATTTAGTATTATAAAGTCTATCAAAGTTCAACTCTTATCATAAATATATTTTCTGTATAGACTAGATTATACATATTGTCCTTGATTTTCTAAAACTAGTTCCATATTTTTCAGTGTTCTAGATGACCATACAATATAATCTATTTTTTCACAACTACCTCTATTATAGATAACAAACGAAAGCGCTTGATTGGTAGAACAGAGCTCATAAATTGTTTAACATAAAAAATATTTTATAAATTATTTGTTTTAGCTTATAACACTTAAGGTATAACACATAATAGGGTAGATGCCTGCTATTTATTTTAATGTCCGTCTGGTAGATTATTTTAATAAATTAGACACGTATTTTAATTTCTTACAGAAACTAATATTTTCGACGATATATTGATTTAAAATGTCGCGTGACGTCACTTCTATGTACATTTTATACGTAGAAATGACGTTTTAGCCCCCACTCCTAAACTTTGATTCGTTTTATCTAAGTATTGTTTTATTATACGACAAAATAAAAAATACGTGTCTAATATTTTTTCATTACCTAACTTACGGACTAATTAGATTTTTAATTTTGATACCCTGTCATCATCCCAATTTCTTTTCGAAAATAATTTTATCGCGTTACCTTCCTAATTTTCTGTTTCATTTTACAGACAAAATCTACGAAAGATCTGCGCCAAAAGATACTAACTATAGAGCTTACATATGAAGAGTTGTTAGTAGAAAGAGATAGAGAATCGACCAGAGACACATATGTGAAGGCGGAGTATAAATGTGAGAGCTGTCTGATCGGATTCAATTATAACAAGTCATATCAAGCTCATGTCGCTGCTAAACATTCCGAGGTAAGTCATTAATAACCGGGGCTCCGGCTTGACGTGCAGGAGAAGGAACGGGGTGGTTTTTAGTCAGTAAGAGTCTGACACTCCCTCCCGCCTCACCCAGGCGGGAACAGTCATTCGATGATTTTCCCCCCTTAAAAAAAAATTGGTTGCCTGTAAAGTCGGTATACGGGCGAAAGTTTTACGTGACAACGATTTCTGTCTCTCTCGCTCTTAGGCGGGCTAACCATGCCCGAGTGAAAGGGACGCGTGCCTCTCACTCGCTCTCATTGTGAGCGCATAACGTGAGCGGAGCGTAACGCAGTTTCTTGAAGTGTCACCCGGCAAACCAATTTATAAGACGTCACGTCAAAAAAAAGTCATAAACATTTCAAACGATAATCTTTTGAGGAGGACTGGGATGCCGTCTCCTCCTTTTGCGAAGCAGTCATGCTAGCTAAGGAGGAGGTGGAGCGCGTGAGGCAGCGACTAGTAACCTCCTTCCGCCCAAGCCGTCGCGAAGGACACTCTGGGCGTCGGGGATCGCGGGACGATCTCCGGCCACCGTAAGCGCGGGCCTGCGGACGGCGAGCATGGGTGGCTCCCCGTCCGACCAGAAACAGACCCGAGCGTACGGCGTCGAGAGTTCTGTGCGCGCCTCAAAGAGCCATCAGACCACTATAGATGGGGCCCAACAGGGCTGATACCGATACGGAGCCGCGGAGAACGTAAAACGTTACCGGGGTTCCGGCTCGTAGTGCAGGAGTAAGAACGGGGTGGTTTTTAGTCAGTAAGAATTCTCCACAATTTTCAAATTACCAATTCCCAAAAAGCCGGTAACGCACTTGTAACGCCTTACGTCCAGTTTCTATAACCTATCTATCTGTAGATTTGCTTACTAGAAATAGAATTTTGACATGAGCTCCATACAAAATGTGTTAGTGTTCTAGGTGTCCATGGGCGGCGCCGATTACTTACCATCAGGTTACCTTGTGGTAGCTTATCCCATATAAAAAAATAAAAATATTCCAATTAACACCCACTTTTCAACATACATTGTACGCCTGTGTCCCATGGGGGTAGACAGAGACTGGGGAACGCCAATTGCTACGATTCCTACATACCATTTTCTCTTAATCAACAGTCATCAGTCTTTTTTCATGCATCACGTAAACGTATGCGCCGCGCAGACCTCGCGTTGCCGCGGCGTCAGTGCAAGAGTAAATGAATACGCGGCGTATTTATCCTGTTCGACGCATACGTTTAACGAACGCTTTTTTTTATTTTTATTTTTTTTAATGAGCGTGGAAAATCGTCCAATGGCTTCTCCCGGGTGAGGCGGGAGGGAGTGTCAGACTCTTACTGACTAAAAACCACCCCGTTCCTTCTCCTGCACGTCGAGCCGGAGCCCCGGTTACCCGTCACACTAGCGTTTGTCCAGCGTAGGCGTTCGTTAAACGGGGCTCCGGCTCCGGCTCCGGCCACCCAGGCGGGAGCAGTCATTCGATGATTTTCCCCCCTTAAAAAAAAGTGTGCTGGGAATCTGAAGCTTGAATTTTGTTGTAGGATCTTGGCGACTACGTATGCCCCATATGTAAAACTATAGTACCGTCTATAGACTCCTTCACTGGACACTACAAGCGACATATGAGAAGGTATGTAACTTCATATTACAGATAATAAACCGTGGAAGATTTTAAACCAAACCAATAAGTGTGGGAGAGCCATGCTTCGGCACTGCTGGGCCGGCTCGACCGAAGTAATACCACGGCCGAGCAGAAAACTATAGTGAAACAACGCTTGCGTTGTGTTTCGTCGTATGATTGAGGTAACCGGAGGCCCTAATTACATTATTTTACATTTCATAACCTTATTTTCATACATAACAACATCACGCCTTTTATCCTCGAAGGGGTAGGCAGAGGTGCACATTGTACCACTGCACAATGTAACACCCACTTTTCACTATTTATGTTATGAGTCCCATGTAATAGGGGGTGAGCCTATTGCCATATACCGGGCACAGTTCCAGACTCCGTGCTACTACTGAGAATTTTTTCCAAACCCAGTAATACTTTGCCCGACCCGGGAATCGAACCCGAGACCCCTTGCTCGGCAGTCGCAATTGCGACCACTCGGTCAACGAGGCAGACTTTATTTTCACATTTAATATTAATATAAATAATCTTACTTAATATTATAAATGGGACGATTTGTATGTTTGTTTGTTTTTACTCAATCTCGCCGAAACAGCTGAAGGGATCGTGATGAAATTTATAACAGGGTAGTTTATGGTCTGGATTAACACATAGGCTACTTTTATCACACGGTAACGCGGGCATAGCCACTTGGCAAAAGCTAGTAAATCAATGTATTTGTTACTCACGTGAATATACTGAGAAAAGCTCTACTAGTTCCGAACCACAGAGGCATAGGAGAGTCTGTATTATGAATCCCGATAGGGTTTGAATCTAGTCGAGTGAGTATCTTCGAACAAAAAGAGCCAGTGGTATATTTAAACTAGTTTAAAAAAGGTATTAACTAAAAATCGCGGGTTACTCACGGGATAATACTGAGAAAAGCTCTACTAGGTTCGAACCACAGAGGGGTTCTTCCTTTATCTTTATGACCAGTAGGCTGCGCGACATCGCCGCGACTGCGCACACTGCTCATGAGGAACAACCCCTCTATGGTTCGAAACTAGTAGAGCTTTTCTCAGTATATTCACGTGAGTAACCCGCGATTTTTAGTTCATTTAGTATGTCTCACGATAGTTATTATATAAAAACTGCGTTTAAAAAACCGACTTCAAAAACCAAAAACTAATAACAAACAAAAAGTCAATACTAAAAACCAAAAAATAACTATTATTAGTACTGATAGGTTACCCACCCACTGATAGGTAAGAAGTCGGTGCCATAAATTCCATACAAAATTATTCATTTAAACCTTAATAGGTACCTAATTCACAATTTTGTGGACATTAAGTTATATCATTATGATATGAGCTTGTGGCACCGACTTCTAACCTATCAGTTGGTGGGTAACCTATCAGTACTAATAATAGTTATTTTTTGGTTTTTAGTATTGACTTTTTGTTTGTTATTAGTTTTTGGTTTTTGAAGTCGGTTTTTTAAACGCAGTTTTTATTTTATTATTTTACCATTTTCAGTGTAAAGCTACATATACCCGTTTTGTTACTTATAATATACATAGGTGCAAAGTTCTAATCAATACAAATTATACAAGCCCAAACACAAGGTAGTTACAATATACTGTTGAGGAGTTCCCTTAACAATTACTCTTCTTCATCATCAGACCCTTAATGACAGCCCCACTCTATTTAGGTGTAAAGTCCTCTTCAAAACAAATTAATCAAGCCCAAATTCAAGGTAGTTACTGTATACCGTTGAGGAGTTCCATTAAAAATTAAACTTCTTCATCATCAGACCCTTAATGACAGCCCCACTCTATCTAGGTGTAAAGTCCTCATCAATACAAATTAATCAAGCCCAAACTCAAGGTAGTTACTGTATACCGTTGAGGAGTTCCCTTAACAATTACACTTCTTCATCATCAGACCCTGAATGATAGCCCCACTCTATCTAGGTGTAAAGTCCTCATCAATACAAATTAATCAAGCCCAAACACAAGGTAGTTAATATAAACCGCTAAGGAGTTCCCTCGACTGTCTGTCGACTCCATCATCAGGTCGACTCCAGACCCTTATTAAATTGTAGTGTTTAAAAATTGTAATTGAAAAACATAATAGACGCATTACTTCCTCATAGAATTTTCGAAAGTTCCCCTCGGTTTCCCTAGGATCCCATCATCAGATCCTGACTTCATGGAAATGGGACCATCTCGGGAGTATACCCTTTCAAACAAAACAAAAATTTTCGAAATCGGTCCACAAATGGCGGAGTACTGCGCGAACAAACAAAAAAAAAAAAAAAAACAATCAGCCGAACATAGTACCTCCTCCTTTTTTTGAAGTCGGTAAAAATGACTGCCTTGTTGGCCGAGTGGTCGCAAGTGCGATTGCCGGGCAAGGGTCTCGGGTTCGTTTCCCGAGTCGGGCAAAGTATTACTGGGTTCTTAAAAAATTCTCAGTGGTAGCACGGATTCTGGAATTGTGCCCGGTATATGGCAATAGGCTCACCCCCTATGAAATGGGACTTATAACATTAAATAGTAAAAAGTGGGTGTTACAAGTACAGTGGCATTAAGTGCCGTAATGTGCACCTCTGCCTACCGCTTCGGCGATAAAAGGCGTGATGTTATGAAAAGGGGTTATTATAAAAATATGTTTTTTTGATTTTGTCCATAGATACGAGTGCACTATATGCCACAAGCGGACCCTGGATATTAAAGTAATGCAACAACATTATTACTCCACACATGAGATATCGCTTAAGGAATATAAATGCAATATCTGCGGGAAGATTTCAAAGTAAGTATTTGTTTTATTATGTTATACAGAATGGGCTTGGGTTATCGCCATTAACTCTTTGAGTACCGTCATTATAGACACAATTATAGAACAATAATAAAAACTGACAAATGCCCAGTTTAATCTACAGTTAAGAATTGTCTGTTGATTGAAAAATCAGCCGTAATTGAATAGAGGCTGTTTGTTATGTAGGGAACAGAGAGTATAGTTCCCTAAGATCGGAAAAGGAGGATCCTCCGTCCAGGCGAGGTGATCGTGCCTGGCGGGCTTTCTGCCCAACAGTTGTTCGTTGGGATTTTCTATCCGTGTTTATTCGCTTGTAAACTTTGTTTGTGTTATATTTTTTTTGCATTTTAACGTTTCAAAGCTTGTGTGTCGTTTATTTTAAACAAACAGTTTGATTTTGATGATTGATTGATGATGATTCAATGATGATTGATTTTGATGAATGAAAATCAATTAGTAAAAAGGTAAGCGTTTAATATTTTTCGTATCCAGTTCAATAGACTCGCATCGGTACCACAAAGACACACACAAGGCCCGGCTGCAGTGCGCGGAGTGCGACAAGACCTTCAGACATAGAACTGGACTCATGAATCATAGACTGTAAGCATTTATTGCGATTTTTTATTAACATAATGTCGTGGTGGCCCGGAGGTTTAAGACGCCTACTTCTCATGCATGAGGGTGCGGGTTCGAAACCTACCAACGGCAAGTACCAATGTGACTTTTTCCGAGTTATATGTACTTTCTAAGATTATTTAGATACCACTGACTAACGGTGAAGGAAAACATCGTGAGGAAATCTGGACTTATAATCTCTAATTATAAGTTTGAAATCGCCAACCCGCATTGAGCAAGCGTGGTGATTAATGCTCTAACCTTCTCCGTGTGAGAAGAGGCTTTGCTCAGCAGTGGGCATTTATAGGCTGTTGATGATTAACATAACATCATACTTTTTATCCTCAAAGAGCTAGGCTGAGGTGAACATTATGGCACTTATCACTCAGTAGTAGCACGGAGTCTGGAATTGTGCCCGGTATATGGCAATAGGCTCACCTCCTATTACATGGGACTCATAACATAAATAATGAAAAGTTGGTGTTACATACAGTGATTTTAATGTCGGAATACTGAAACGTTACTCAATTTTAAGTCGTGCTCAAATATCGTGCCATCTCTGTCATTTTGCAAAGAATTTGTAGAGATAGAACTATAATTAAGCACGACTTAAAATTGAGTAGCGTTTCAGTATTCCGACATTAAAGCCACTGTATGTAACACCAACTTTTCACTATTTATGTTATGAGTCCCATGTAATAGGGGGTGAGCTTTTTGCCATATACTGGGCACAATTCCAGACTCCGTGCTACTACTGAGATTTTTTTTAAAAACATACATAGTTTAACTGACGGACTAATTAGGTTGTTTCTTCTTTTTTTATGGCATAAACCGGTAAACGATCAGACGGATCACCTGATGGTAAGCAATCGGCGTCGCCCATGGACACACAGAACACCAGAGGCGTTACAAGTGCGATCCCTTTTGGGGATTAAGAGTTTGAGGATCGTTAGGGATTCAGGAATTGGAGAGATTGGGGAAGGGGAGGGTAATTGGGCCTCCGGTAACCTCACTCACACGACGAAACACAACACAAGCGTTGCTTCACGTCGGTTTTCTGCTCGGCCGTGGTATCACTCCGGGCGAGCCGGCCCAGCAGTGCCGAAGCATGGCTCTCCCACGCTTATTGTTCTGTAATTGTCAATATTATTTTATTTATGTTACAGGGCAGTACACGAATACCACAACGTGTTTCCGTGCACGCTCTGTGATAAGGTTTTCAGGTGGAAAACCAGTCTGAAGCGACATCTAGAGAAACATGAAGTTATGAAGGTAACCTTGCTTCTAACTACTTTTTTTTTATTTATTTTTTTATAAAACGTTCGCCCAAACGTTGTCTTTTACATACAGTGGCATAATGTGCACCTGTGCCTACACCTTCGTGGATAAAAGGCGTGATGTTATTTTTTTTCTTTTCAGGGTAAATCACCATCGTCTGCAGCATACTGCTCGACATGTAATATTAATTTCTCGTCTTTATGTTCATACCAACGACATCTGAAGATCAGCTTGAAACATGTAACACAGGATCAGTTCAAGTAAGCAGTTAAAATACTTTGTTCTATCGTTGTCCTACACTAGGATTGTCTCCTGTGCCGTGGGTGCGTTTACAAACATACAATATCACATATACATGACACACAGACCCGGAACAACAATCCGCGTATCATACATCTGTTGTTCCGTGCGGAAATCCAATTGCCCGGCATTCGGTTGCCCAACTCCCTTGTGTTGGATAGTGCATTTATTAATAAAGGCAATAAATGTTATATAATCTCCATGCTTTTTTTATGGTGGGAAAATCGTCCAATGTCTTCTCCCGCCTGGGTGAGGCGAGAGGGAGTGTCAGACTCTTACTGACTAAACACCACCCCGTTCCTTCTCCTGCACGTCGAGCCGGAGCCCCGGCAACCTGTTAAGTTCTCCGCGGCTCAGTATCGGCATCAGCCCTATTGGGCCCCATCCATGACCGTCTGATGGCTCTTTGAGGCGTGCGTGGAAAGCTCGGGCCTAGTTCTGGTCGGGCGACGAGTCACCCATGCTACCGTCCGTAGCCGCCGGTAGCGGCCGGAGATCGTCTCGTAATCCCCGACGCCCAGAGTGTCTCTCGCGACGGCTTGGGCGTGAGAAGATGCGGTCCCTCACGCGCCCTGCCTCCTCCTAAGCTGACTGCTTCGTAGAAAGAGGAGATGGCATCCCAGTCCCTTTCGCTCCGTACTAGAGCCAGACGCGAGAGGATTATTACACTTTTTTTTGGCATAAGCCGGTAAACGAGCAGACGGATCACCTGATGGTGAGCAATCGGCGTCGCCCATGGACATACGGAACACCAGAGGCGTTACAACTGCGTTACCGGCCTTTTGGGAATCAGGAGTTTGATAAGGAGAAAATTTTAGTATAATAATTAACAGGCTGCAAAAAAAAGAGGGGGTGTTGAAGTCTGTTTACTTGAACGTAGTTTATAAAAGAATTGTATTAAATAAAAATCGCGGGTTACTCACGTGAATGTACTGAGAAAAGCTCTACTAGTTTCGAACCACAGATTTTTAGTTAATTAAGTATGTCTCACGATAGTAATTGTAAAAACAAGAATTGTAATTATATTTATTTTAATGTTTTTAGGTTTATTTGTGATCACTGCAACAAGCGGTTTTCTGATAAGACGAAGATTAGAGACCATATTGAAGAGAAACATCTGCATAAGACATTCCAGTGCCATATATGTCTAAAGGTAATGTAATTTCCGAAGTATTACAGCGTTTAAATAAATTCTCAGTAGTAGCACGGAGTCTGGTATTGGGTAGTTTCCAGGATATGAAAATTAAAAATCTAAATAGTCCGTCAGTTGACTGAAAAAATATTAGACACGTATTTTTTTATTTTCTCGTATTTAGTTGCAATACTTAGATGAAATGGCGCTAAGTTTAGGAGTGGGAGGTTGTTACGTCATAACGTGCTACAAAATGTGGCACGCTGTGACGTCACGATATTTCAAATGAATATATATCGTCGAAAGTATTTAAATTTGTGAGAAAAGGAAAAATACGTGTCTAAAGTTTTAAATTAACATACCACACGGACATTAAAATAAAATTTAGGAAACTACCCTATTGTAGCAGGTATGTGGCAATAGGCTCACCCCCTATTACATGGGACTCATAACATAAATAGTGAAAAGTGAGTGTTACATTGTACAGCGGCATTAAGTGCTGTAATGTACACCTCTCGCGGGCCTGCGGACGGCGAGCATGGGTGGCTCCCCGTCCGACCAGGACCAGACCCGAGCGTACGGCGCCGAGCGGTTCGCGCGCGACATAAAGAGCCATCAGACCACCATAAATGGTACCCAACAGGGCTGATGCCGATTCAGAGTCGCGTAGAACCTAACAGGTAACCGGGGCTCCGGCTCGACGTGCAGGAGTAGGAACGGGGTGGTTTTTAGTCAGTAAGAGTCTGACACTCCTTCCCGCCTCACCCAGGCGGGAGCAGTCATTCGATGATTTTCACCCCTTAAAAAAAATGTGCCCCTCTGCCTACCGCTTCGGGGTTAAATATGTAATATTTATATTGTTTTATTTCCAGCCTTCAAAGAACCGAGTAGGTTTAGACCAGCACATTAGGAATGTTCATAAAGGAAGGCCAAATAACAAGATGTGTCATCATTGCGGGAAGGGATTCCCGGTGAGTACAAAACATTATTTAGCACTAGTCTTGAAAATATATATAAAAGTGTGGGAGAGCCATGCTGCGGCACTGCTGTGCCGGCTCGACCGGAGTGATACCACGGCCGAACAGGAAACCGACGTGAAGCAACGCTAGCGTTGTGTTTCGTCGTGTGAGTGAGGTTACCGAAGGCCCAATTACCCTCCCCTTCCCCAATCTCCCCAATTTCTGAATTTCCAACGATCCTCAAACTCCAAATTCCCCAAAAGGCCAGTAACGCTCTTGTAATGCCTCTGGTGTTCCAGGTATCCATGGGCGACGCCGATTGCTTACCATCAGGTGATCCGTCTGCCCGTTTACCGGCTTATGCCATAAAAAAAATATACAAAATGAGACAAAAGTAACTAAAATCGCGGGTTACTCACGTGAATATACTGAGAAAAGCTCTACTAGTTTCGAACCACAGAGGGGTATTACTCATGAGTAGCGTGCGCGGTCGCGCAGCCTACTAGTTCGTAGGCTGAGGAAGGACCTCTCTGTGATTTGAAACTAGTAGAGCTTTTGAAATGAAATGATGGTGAAATGATATATGATGGTGAAATGATATATGAAATGATATTATATGATATGATATTTATTTCTGCAAATAGGTTACACGTCAATATGTTCACGTAAATAACGCGCGATCTTCAGTTAATTTACGATGTCTCGTGATAGTTATTATAGACACAAAATGAGACGACTCCTTACTAATATTATAAATCGGAAAGTGAGTTTGTTTGTTTGTTCCGCTTTCTTACGGTCCATTTCGATTTGTTTTAACAATACAGGGTTAATATGACGCTAATTTCCGTAGTTTTAATTATTTTTGGGATAAAAAATTACCTATACTAAAAATTATATAAATCGATTCAGTTAACGATTCTGAACAAACTATTTTCAGGATGTGCGTTATTTAAGTTACATGTTGTATAATATATATCAACAGCCTATAAGTGCCCACTGCTGAGCAAAGCCTCTCCTCGCACGGAGAAGGTTTGAGCATTAATCACCACGCTTGCTCAATGCGGGTTGGCGATGTCAAACTTATAATTAGAAATTATAAGTCCAGGTTTCCTCACGGTGTTTTCCTTCATCGTTTGTCAATGGTGTCTAAATAATCTTAGAAAGTACATATAACTCGGAAAAAGTCACATTGGTACTTGCCGTTGGTAGGTTTTGAACCGTTGGGGCCACGGGTGCGTAGAGTGGGGACTCTAGGTGCCCACCCTGTGGTCTCAGGGAAGACGGTGGCACAGTGGTCACGTGCCGCCGTACACAGCAAGGCTTAAAGGAGACACCTGTCTCCCTAGGGATGTGTCGTAACAGGCGTTGCCCCGTGGAGGCGCTGGAGCAGATCTCTTACAGGACCCGGTGCCTCCTTTCAGGTGTTGAGGGTGGCCACCGGGGTGGTTTTAGTGAGCTAAAAATCCCACACTCCCCAGTCTTATATCCCCAAAAAGGCTGAGCGCCTTTTGAAGGTTTCATCCCGTCATCAAGAAAAAAGAAAAGGTTTCGAACCGCACTCTCATGCATGAGAAGCGGGCGTCTTAAACTGCCGGGCCACCACGACAATCACAAAAATAAAAAATATAAACGAATTTCTAATTTTGTGTGTCTATATGTTTCAGCTGGCATGTACGTATTTTTGTTTTCGTGTATTTATTGTAGATCCATGTCTGTGCTCCGTATGTCAGGCATGGTAGTATACATGAGTCCATGACTTTTTTCTTAAGATGTAATGGAAGTTTTGATTTTAATGTTTCTTTCATGCTCCAGAACTTTTTCCAAGACATATTAATTGTTCTGCTTAGTTCATCTTTATGCCGTGTGTTTTTAAATGAAATGAGCTTACCCAGATAAATATAGCTGTCGACATATTCTATTGGTGTTTGGTTTACTATAATGGGGGTTTGTATACTGTTTGTAGCTACTTTAGTCTTAGAAGTGTTTAGTTGTAGACCAATGGTATTGCTAGAGTCACTCAATTCTGTAAGCATTTCTTCAAGTTGTTTTGAGCGATTGGAGGAGGCCTATACCCGAGAGGGGCCATGACTTAATATTAAGATATTAAATTAAACATTATTACTTTTTAGACTGCCTCGCTGGCCGAGTGGTCGTCAGTGCCACTGCCGGGCAAGGGGTCTCGGGTTCGATTCCCGGGTCGGGCAAAGTATTACTGGGTTTTTAAATATTCTCAGTAGTAGCACGGAGTCTGGAATTGTGCCCGGTATATGGCAATAGGCTCACCCCCTATTACATGGGACTCATAACATAAATAGTGAAAAGTGGGTGTTACATTGTACAGTGGTATAATGTGCACCTCTGCCTACCCCTTCGGGGATAAAAAGGCGTGATGTTATGTATGTTTGTTATTACTTTTTTAAACTTTATATCAGGAATGAGTCAAACTTTTTTATATTTTGAAACACTTATGTAATAGGATTAGGTCAAGGAAATAAATAAAGGCTTTTTTTATTATTTTTATAAAATTATTATTATTATATATGTTTCAAATTTTGTGTATCTGTTTGTTCCAGACCAAAGTGCAATTAGAATCTCACATTCGCACACACACCGGAGAGCGGCCGTTTATATGCGAATTCTGTCCGACTACGTTCTCACAGCAATCGAATCTATACAAACATAATCGACAAGTAAGTAAATTTATACTCTTTTCGTGGCGACGTTGAAAAAAGGGCGGACGTAATGTCTATTAAGATTTGGGAGCATTATTTGGGACTCCGGTAACCTCACTCACACGACGAAACACAACGCAAACGTTGCTTCACGTCGGTTTTCTGCTCAGCCGTGGTATCACTCTGGTCGAGCCGGCCCAGCAGTGGCGAAGCATGGCTCTAACAAACTCAAAAAATCTCACTCTCCTATCTTTAAAGTTTGCCGACTGAAGGACTGCCGGGCAAGGGGTCTCGGGTTCGATTCCCGGGTCGGGTAAAATATTACTAGTTTTTTTTTTAAATCTCAGTAGTCTGGAATTGTGCCCGATATGTGGCAATAGACTCAACCCCTATTACATGGGACTCATAACATATATTAGTAAAAAGTGGGTGTGGCATTAAATGCCGTAATGTGCACCTCTGCCAACTCCTTCTGGGATAAAAGGCGTGGCGTTGATTATATAATACCACTTTCGCGCGGTTTCACTCGCTCTGCTCGGCGCCTTTTAATCGTAGCGTGATATTTTATAGCCTATAGCCTTCCTCGATAGGCTATCCACAACAGAAAGAATTTTTGAAATCGGACCAGTAGTTTCGGAGATTAGGGTGTTCAAACAAACAAACAAAAAAACAAACTCTTCAGCTTTATAATATTAGTATAAATACATTTTTATTTACATAAAAATCTTATTTTCAGGTACATCTAAATATAAAATCCAAGCGATATCCTCTGGGTAAGAGAAAGGATGACAAAAGTCAAGAAATACCTACTGTGGAACCAGCGCCCATAGACCAGTACAGATTACCTATGATTCAGTATACTACTGAAAAATCTTTCGTCATATAATCGGTCAGTGAAAGCCTTTATTGATGTCGGGGGAAACCTGGGAACCGTCAACACGCCTAACTTTTTGGGGAAAAAGACTAAGGAGTGTGGGATTCGTATCTCACTATAACCACCTCGGTGGCCACCCTCAGCGCCTGTAAAGGCCATCGGGTCCTCTGAAGAAACCTGCTCCGAAGACCCCACGGTGGAACGCCTGTTACAGCACATCCCTAGGGAGATCTGCGTGTCGCGGAGAACCTAACGGGTAACCGGGGCTCCGGCTCGACGTGCAGGAGAAGGAACGGGGTGGTGTTTAGTCAGTAAGAGTCTGATACTCCCTCCCGCCTCACCCGGGCGGAAGCAGTCATTCGATGATTTTCCCCCTTTAAAAAAAAAGGGTGATCTGCGTCTCCTTTGATCATCTCTGCACGGCAGCACGTGACCGCTGTGATACCATCTTCTCTGAGGCCATTTTTTTAAGGGGAGAAAATCATCGAATGACTTCTCCCACCTAGGTGAGGAGCGAGGTAGTGTCAGATTCTTACTAACTAAAAATAATCCCATTCCTACTTCTGCCCTTCGAGCCAGAGCTCCGGCAACCCGTTAACCCCTCGAGCGTCCTTATGAGCACCCGGTGGATCATAAGAAAAAATACTCCATGCTGCTTTCTCTTTTATAAAATCTATTATTAATGTTTTGTTTTTATTTTGACTGTGTTTGTTTTATTTCTATTGTAATGATCCTTGTTTTCGTGTGCCAATGGCCAAATAAATGCATTTTCTTGCATGCATAAGGATAAGGAAATGCATAAGGAACGCGGACGCTCGACGGGTTAAGTCCTCCTCGGTTCCGTATCGGCATCAGCCCTATTGGGTCCTATCCGTGGTGGTCTAAAGGCTCTTGAGGTGCGCGTGGAACGCGATGCACCGTCCCCTCGGGTCTGCCCTGAGGCCACTGGATGGGCGCCGAGAGTCCCCAATCTATGCACCCGTGGCCTCGGTCTATGTAGGCCTAAGAAGTTGCTAGCAAAAGCCATTGTTTGATGAAACCAACAGTGGACGTCTTGCCACTGATACGATGGTGTATTTTTCTAGTATTAAAGGATAAAACTATTTTAATTGTGTAATAATAACTTAAATTATATTTTGCATGTATTATATTGTATTGTGCAATAAAGTATAACTGAATGCGATGTGTTTATGTATTTTTATTTATTGTAATGACAGATATTTAGTCGGTATGTTTCGGTTAGACAGGGAATAGAGTAGATGGCTAATTTTTATTTTAATGTCCGTCTGGTAGATTGTTTTAAAACATTAGACACGTATTTTTTTATTTTATTAACGGAAACGAATATTATTGAGGATATATTGATTTGAAATATCGTGTGGCGTCACTTCTATGTACATTTTATACGTAGAAATGACGTTTCAGCCCCCACTCCTAAACTTTGATTCGTTATATCTAAATATCATTTTATTAAACACCAAAATAAAAAAAACGTGTCTAATATTTTTTCATTACGTAACTGACGGACTAATTAGGTAGATTTATAATTTTCATACCCTGTCATCATCCCTATTGTGTTACTTATTATTTGATATATAATTGAAGAGAATATATAATTGAGTTAATTTGTAGACGCATGGAAAAACTAACGGCACTCAAGAACCTAAAAAACTGAAATAATCCTGAACCAGATAAAAAACAGCTACTAATGATAGCAAAAAATTGCATCATAAATGCTCGCCAAACCTCCAAAACCAAAATAGGGATGCTTGAAATAGGATTGCTAGACTGCCTCGTTGGCCGAGTGGTCGCAAGTGCGACTGCCGGGCAAGGGGTCTCGGGTTCGATTCCCGGGTCGGGCAAAGTATTACTGGGTATAAAAAAAAAATCTCAGTAGTAGCACGGAGTCTGAAATTGTGCCCGGTATATGGCAATAGGCTCACCCCCTATTACATGGGTCTCGTAACATAAATAGTGAAAAGTGGGTGTTACATTGTACAGTGGCATAATGTGCACCTCTGCCTACCCCTTCGGAGATAAAAGGCGTGACGTTATGTTGTTGTTTCTCTCTCAGAATATTCATTTCGTTGCGGGAACCAAGATCTATTCGTGTCCCCGGGACGCGCCGGACTTCGGTGTTCCGGTATTTTCATGGTTGTATCTACAGAGTTCCTGGCTTACAAGAGTTTATTTATTTATATATTAAGGAAAATCAAACAGTAACATATTACAAAATATACATAATTCAGCTTACATATTATACTTGGCAAATGTGTTACCCACACTGATATGTTAAGACTATATCTATGGTACCTACACTACGACCCAACCAGTTTTGATATTTGTTAGTTTTATCGAGTTTAAAACGGTATATGGCAATAGGCTCACCCCCTATTACATGGGACTCATAACATAAATAGTGAAAAGTGGGTATTACATTGTACAGTGGCATTAAGTGCCGTAATGTAGGTACACCTCTGCATACCCCTTCGGGGATAAAAGGCGTGATATTATGTTATGTTTAAAATGAGAAGGTACTATGTTCGGATGATTGTTTATTCATGGGATATGGACCATAGTCCGAAGTGGGTGATTCAGTCCAAGTCGATATTAGTACCAGCTGTCACCGCGTCAAACTGTTTTGCCAAGCTGTACTAACGTATAAAGGGCAATAAATAAACAACATACAACTTACATTTATTTATCTAGGTTTAGTGTTTAACGGCCGAATACTAAAATACTACTAAATTAATTAAGTTGCATTAAATATCGTGCCATCTCTGTCATTCTACGAAGAATTTGTTGTGACATGTGCAAAGCGAGTAGTGGCGGACAGATAACGACCGCAGCGCACAACACGGCAGAAATTGAAAACAAATGCGGATGATGCAAACCCGGTTTTTATTATTATATTCATTTTATAGTAAAACTAATGAATAAATTGCACTTAAATAATGTCAACAATACTATTTTAATCTTTGGTTTTATTTATATTTGCAAAGAAAATTATAATGTTTACATTGTTATTATTTAACAGCTTCCGCAAATGTAAACGCTACGCGTCGCCACCGTCGCGCACATAGCCAAGCGCGACTTAAAATTTAGTAGCATTTAAATATTTCATAGTAAGCTAATAATATGACTTAAAACTATACAAATATTTTGCACAAATAAACCTTGCAAATACGGTCCCAATCTCGCGATGTCTAGTCATTGGGGGAAGACCAGTGCCGGCGTAAAGGCCACTGACACCCTGGGCGAAAATACTGTGGCGCCCACTTGAGGGAAGCAATATCACGCTTTAACATTCTGCACCACCCAATGGTCGACTGTCAGAAAATGCCTACAGCATTAAGTCCGCCAATTTCACTGTATGTGCAATTAAGTTTAATAAATAAATAAATATAATAATGTTAGTTTTTTGCTGATCCCAAGTAAAATTATATTAAGAATTTCATCTTTCCTTTAGCGTTACCCAGAGCTAACGACGGGGACCAAAAAACCTCAAAAAATCCATCAAAAAAAATCTCAATAAAAAATATGCAGCACAGAGCGTAGAGCACAGTTCTGAGGGTTTGCACCAGGAGAGGCAAGAGGGTCCAACTTCAGACCTTGGCGCCTCCCAGAATTGTCGCTCTGGGCCATCTCCCCATCACGTCCCCCCTAACGCCGGCACTGGGGGAGGACTGTGGGAGGCAGTCGACAGTGTGTGGCTGGGTGCACGATGAATAATAATGTAACCCAGAATGTCAGTGAAAAAGAGTAACCTATGGAGTTTCTTGCTCGTTCTTCTCCATAGGAATCTACACTTTGGAACGAGCAAATAGAGCAACTAAGGGTCTGACAGACTGACACTTTTTATGTTGTTTAATGTTCAAAAATCACTCGTATTGGTCTAATTGTTGAATACACGGTTGGTGCGGTGGCTGGGCAACCGGCTGCCGTGCAACGTGTCGCGGGTTCAATTCCCGCGCGGAACAACACTTTGTGTGATACAAATTTTTGTTTCGGGTCTGGGTGTCATGTGTATGTAAACTTGTATGTTTGTAAACGCATCCACGACACAGGAGAAAATGCTAAAGTGGGGCAAAGACTTTAAAAAAAAGTGGAATAAATTATTTGACTTTGATGGAGTTTCTTGCTCGTTCTACTCTATAGGAATCTACACTTTGGAACGTGCAAATAGAGCAACTAGGTGACTGACTGACAGACTGACATTTATGTCCGTTTTTAGAAAGTTCTCCTAAATAAGGAACTCCGTAAGCTAAGACGCCATTAGGGACGTTCTGGTTCTCACCGATCTATGTATAAGTGACAGTACAAGGGGTAAGTTTAAGTGTTATATGACGCTAAGTAACTTTTAGATAAGAGATGGTTTAGGAGTGGTGGGTCGTCTATTATTTATTAATATCTTGTATGACTCAGGCAGGTCGCTGGAAGAACATGGAGTAGAGTAGCCAGAGAGAGATCAAAATGGAGTAGGTTGGAGGAGGCCTTTGAAGCACCAAATATGAGAAGAAAGAAAAATCATTTATTCGACAGTAGATATGTAAATATATGCGCAAAAATGTATAAGTTAGGTTCCGTAATGTAAGAAAATATTTTGTTATCCGAATAAAAGGCTTATTTTTATATATTATTATTATATGTATGACTCTATAGGGTCTGATTAGTGTCATCGTCTTGTCAGGCCACAACTGTGCGCTTCTCTCGTAGCTTTCTGCCTCGCACAGCAAAACTGTGGAATGATCTGTCGTCGGCGGTATTTCCGAACCGATACGACCTTCAAACCTACAAGAAAAGAGCCTATTCCTTTTTAAAAAGCCAGCAACGCACCTATGACTCCTCTGGTGTTGCGGGTGTCCGTGGGCGGCGCTGATAGCTTACCATCAGGTGATCCATCGGTTCGTTAGCCTCCTATTCCAAAAAAAATGATTTAATTTATTTAATTTTCATATGAAGTATAGATTTGCCAACCCGCATTGAGCAAGCGTGGCGATTAATGCTCAAAC